GGGAGTATAATAACATGCGTGGTAAGAAATATAAGACCCGAGGAAATGTTTGGGTCGCTGTGAACACTACGCTATACGGAGCATGTCTCGTGACCGCCTGAACTTCGTGATACATGCAAGGTGGCCATGGATGGTGTAATGGAAAAAAAAGTAATTGTAATTGACTCTAATTAATTACATTTTTTGAAGTAATTGAAAATAATTTGTAATTGAACATTTTTTTTCAATTACTTGTAATTGTAATTTAATTGATTATAATGGAAAAAATACCATGTAATTTCAATTACTTTTTTCAATTACTGTACATTCAATCACATTCATGATATATTCATGATATATTGTCACCACTACCTCCCCATTTTACTGAGTTTTTTTTTTTATTTTATTGTAAAATATATCCTCAATCCTTCAATTAAACAAAATCTTAAGTTAATGTTTACAAACAAATAATTAATGATTATGATTGGCTTGAAAATAATAATCTAGTTTCTTTCTAATTATTATGTAAATTTTTAATTTTTTGATTTATGTTTATAAATCTGAATTTGAACAACCCTTCTTACGTCTACTAGTATTCAGCCATGAAACACACATTTTTGTATTTCAATCTGTGTTATTTGATCAATAATAAAGAAAAAGATGGTGTGTGTCATTAATTAAGATCTCTCTTGCTGGGAAAAGATAATTGCCCTCCAGATCACAGCTGTAAATTGCAAACGAAACAAATCAACTCCTCTAAAGAGATATTCATTCCATGATACAGAAGACAAAGCCATTGGAGATAATTATTTCAATTTAAAATGCTCCGCTAGCTTTAGAAAAGAAAAACTTTCAATTTGATAATTATTTTAACATCTAAACAGATTTTTGTGAATGAATTTTCTATCTGTACAAGTATATTATTTATGAAGTAAAATTGTTTAACATAAATATCAATTTAGGATGTTCAGGTTACCTTCAAAGGAAATATTTTAATATATATATATATATATATATATATATATATATATATATATATATATATATATATATATATATATATATATATATATATATATATATATTACGGGATGAATTGTCCGTCAAATTCTAATTCTGGGCCAACCGTGAGTTTTCCTCTTATTGTTGAACACAGATTCATAAAACCTCCAATAAGCCAACACGCGTTATAGTTTTAGTACTTTTATATAGAATCAGCATGGAATATACTTTTACATGAGTTTGGGATGTATCAGCACCGAAGGTCTGATTCCAACTGACTATAATTTTTAACAACAAAACATACATATTGAACAATGATAGAACAAACTAAAAGGATTAACAATAAGTATTAAGAAATCAAGCATTAAACAATTATTGATGACATTTTAGCGACATGTATATAATAGAATTAAAGTAGATGAAAGATTAAGTGTCAATAAATATAAACAGAAGTCAATTAAGGGATTAAGTGTCCATCTCTGATTGTGCCTCGGGTGGGATTAAGGCTGTGCGGAATTTATAGAATTTAACACATTTGCGAAAATATACGAAAAGTTTTAATAACAATTTACACAAAATCCGAAAAGTTAATTCACATAGTAATTTATGATAATTCCAAAAATGTCATATTTTACACCGTAACATATAAGTAATGTTTTTGTTTTTAATTTGTAAGTATGTTATTGCTATAAATAAAAGATGAATTGAATTTTTGTTGTGTGAAAGGCCCGAACCATGGAGCCTGATTAGTGCCCTAATCTTGGAGCCTAATTAGCGCCCTAATTATGGCGCCTAACAGATGTTCTTAATGTATTAGGTGTCTTGACACCCAACAATGGTGCTGAGGCCCTAATACTTGGAGCCCAATGCCCTAACAGGTGTCATAATCATGGAGTCTAACGCCCAAACAGGTGCCCTAATGACGTTAGGTGTCAGACAGAGTATATATATAAGGAGAGAGAGATAGTGAACAAAAACAGATAGCTTGTACTTGATATGTAAACTGCGATTGGATATTATTATACTCATTGAAGCAAAACTCTGCTGTTTTTTTTTTTTTTTTTTTTTTTTTTTTTATTAGATCTATGAAGATCTATAGTTCCTAACCTAAACACAGGATCCACAATATTTTGTGACAGGGGGACGTGGTGAATAGTCACTTCTTAAGGACTGGTTCCTAGAGTTACCGTCGGAAAACCCCCCAAAAACGTCAAATATATATATATATATATATATATATATATATATATATATATATATATATATATATATATATATATATATATATATATATATATAAATGTTCGTCGAAAAACATTTGTTGAAAAACACTTACCCCTTGAATAATGAAGCCACGCCCCCCAGCATAGCAACAGTCAGCATTGCTGGACGACGGGTGATATTCCGAAAAATATTGACTGCGCAGAATTTATGCGCGCAAGGTTCACTGTAATATGTATTTGTATAAAACATTCAGTATAATAAATAATGAATGTGAATTTTCACCCCTCGAAAAAAATTGTCAACCTCGGCTGTGCCTCGGTTGACAATGATTTTCTTGGGGTGAAAATTTTCAATGTTGCAATAACTATTTATATAATATATATTTGTATAATGCAAATATTGACTGGAGTTGAGGGCATCATTGATTATGTAAGGCCTAAGGGATTAAAAATTGCCCGACGCTGAGCAGAGGGCAATATTTTCGTCCTGAGGGGCTAACATGATCAATGATGCCTGAATGTGAATCGTGCTCTACGTGTCATCCTAAACTGGCATTTAAACAGCTATTCAACTTTTATATAGCCTTGCTAACGAGATGGTTCTCAAAAACCACGTGATACTGTACCACAGTTCGGTGAAATATGTGGAGATAACGAACAGTATTCGAGCTCAAAAATCCAATAAATATCACAAAATAAGAGCAAAGCAAACACGGACCTCCTAAACTTCAGAGGTGGGATCAGTTGCCATGGAGGAGTGAGCATCCCCTGCCGACCGGTCAGACCCGCCGTGTGCTCCTTGTCATGATCGGGAAATAGCGGAAAAATCCGTCGACAATTCAGTGTGTAAATAATGGCCTAACAAATAGTATGAAAAAGGTCAGTCAGCATTAGACTTAATGATAGATTGTATTTGCTGACAAGGTCATTGTATCGACCATAGAACTTATGAAATGATGACTTTAAACGAGACTGCTGATATTCTTGTTTCATCAACTTGTTTGTCAATAACTTACCTCGTTTTGGAAATTGTTCATACGTAGAGCATGCTCTGGAATCAACTGAGAGATACAAACCCCGTATGCAGGTGATAAGGGAATATTGCTGCATAAGTAAGGGAAGTTGACGATTGAAAAGTTAAAGTCATCACGCTTATCATAAAGCTTTGTTGTAAGATTACCATTAAAGTCTTTTCTAATAAAATATCCAAATATGAAACAGATGTGTCAGACTCTGTGGTATCTTTTTATCTCAAGCTCACCGGGATATATCGTGTCGACATAAAAATGGAAATAACCATTGTTAATTGACAATACGTCGTCGATATATCCAATGTCGAGTTGAAGGCCACAGCAAGTGTTTTCTTCTTTTTACGTAAAAGATTTTGAACAAATTCTGCTTCATATGAATACAAAACTAGGTCTGCTAATAACGAGGAGCAATCGGTACCCATGGAAATTCCAATAGATTGTTAGAAGACCTGGTCCCCAAAAACCACATAGATATTGTCAATCAGAAACTCGAGCATCTTTTTAATGTCAACTTCAGAGTACTTGTGTGTACAATCAGAGAGCTTTTTAACAAAATAATTCTGTAAATGACCAATGACAAGGTAAGTACATTTACGAGTTCCATTTTTATTGAAAAAGCAGCTGTCAACTATGTCAGAAAGTGTGGACTTTAACTTATCATGGGGAATAGTTGTATATAAAGTTGAAAAGTCGTTAGTTTTTATGTTGTTGATTTTGGTGATTTCAAATGTTCTAAAAGCCTTAGATTTTTTTAGTATCCACATCTGATTTACACCACTTCTCGAATATATTGTTGCACAGTACTCTTGAAGTTTCACTTTCACAACTGTTAATATCTAAGTGAGGAGTAAAGAAGGAGCCTTGGTAGAACATTTACTGGAACCCGCTATGTATCTTTGTTTGTAAGGATTTTAATGAAGTTTCAGAATCCAATATAGATATAGTAATTCAAATTTATTTTGGTTGTTGGGAATATCAACAATATTCAAAACGGATATGTGACGTTGAAGTATTTCCTCCTTAGAAAGGGAGCTATGGGTATAAGTTGGATTACCACTTGTAGAATTAAATCCCAGTTCCTCTAAAATACAATTTATATAAATAAATGAGCCTTACAAACAAAGACAATGTTGTTACCTGCTTTGCCAGCAGGGACCAGTACGTACTGATCTTGTAATCTATCTAATTCTTTTTTCACTTCTGAATTATTGAATACAGAAGGATAGATGGTTTTCATACTGCCCCTCAATCGTTTAATGCGAGATTTTAACATACATCTGATACATTTAATCCATTCTGACAAAGTGTCAAGTCTTCTTTTTCATGTCTGACCCAACGTCTGGCGTAATCCTCTACAGAATCCATAATATGTATGAAATTACGTCGCCAGTTAAAGGATCGGGGTTCCTTATATTTAGGACCTTTTAAAATTAGTAATCTGAGGTCCTCATAATTAACTATATTTACGTCACCAGTAATAACGTGTCCAGCAGGACTATAGTTATAGGGCGAAGAAGAACATGAACACGAAGGAGGATTATGTTTCAGATATTCGATATCCAGGCCCTGTAAAGTTTTCTTGTAATTGAAAAGTTTGGAAGCAATAGTCGATGTATATTTGTAGGAAATACAAGGTGTATTTGAGATTTCTTTTATCAAAAGTGTGGGTTATCTGTACATAACCAACAGTATTATATGGGGTAACTACTACTTCGTCATCCTGAATCTTCGCAAACCTCAATGGAGCAACTTATTGAACAAAAACTTTATATTGCTATAGTTTACTCCATTTCAACTTACGTGTAACATTAAAACAAAATAATTTATCAATAATCTAAATAAACTTCATCTTTGTCCGTTATATCAGGATTCTCCTCCAGAAAGTTAAAGGTCACCTCCGTTTCCTCATTTGTTTCTTCGATCCTTCCCACCACTTTAATCTCAGTCCCACCAAATATAAACTTCACACGAACTGACTTTTTGGAACTCCGTTTTAGTTTAGAAATGTCAATTTCAAGGCATCCTAAATATCTGCAACTTTCATCGTCTGTAAACATTGGGTTGTCTTCAGTTGAAGTATAAATTTTAAAACTTATACCCGTTTGATAATCATGAAGGGGGACATAAGGGTGGTCTTCTTGAGCTTCGTCCACCTCTAGGACGTCACCTTTTTTAACATGCCTACTGAACACACCTCGGCAGTACCATTCATTCTTTATCTTTGTTCGTCTTGATTGAGGATGGTACGAGGGATTAAAGAGCGCACAGGTACCTACGCCGTATGTGCATCTAGCAACTCGTACGGATATTGCTTTTGGGTCATGTCCATACAGAACAGCCCCTTTCAGTACTGCAAGTCCTGCTTCGTGTGGAACTACGACATGCATGTCTGGAAATGACTTTCGGATTTTTTCTTGCAAAAACAGAGACTCTGAAAACCCCCCTACCATAAGAATTTTGTTCGTGCCTTTAGCCTTTGAGGAGGTTAAAAGCTTTTTTATATGATTTACAATACCATCACAAGCAACTGAAAACATATCTGAAAAACGTTCGTGTGAAATTCTTAATTTGTCTAGCTGCCATATTAAACCATCACAATTTGACTTTTCTTTTGTCACATCTTGAATGGTTTTCTTATGAATCTCTTTACAAAAGTCTTTCAAAGTGACAGGAATTTTCATGGTTATATTTCGAATACTAGTGGACTCTGTTTTTGCTTCTTCAGGAGTCCTTTCTAGTGAACGTTTTTTAAGTTCAAACTCGCGATATATCTCCATCATGTCAGAAGCATGATCTCTGCGGTATCTTTCAAATTCCTCCCTGCCCAGTACATCAGAGAGGACGCTGTAAAAAGCTTCATCTACAAATGTTCCTCCCCAGGGGCCTCCCGTAGCCTGCTCAAGTTCTCTAATTCTACCATCTTTTTGAATTTCATGTAAGGTAATGTCAACTGTTCCACCTAAAATAAATTCATGGTTCCATTGAATACTAGTATTATTTTTGGTCATTTTTCTCTCGTTTTTCCTAATGAGTGAATACTTACCTCCTGCATCGAGCACTAAATACCGGCTTCCTTCCTGAAAAACACTAAATCCCTCATCTTCTTCCCCTTTCTCCAGTGATAAATGCTTACAGTAAATGGATGCTGCCTCTGGCTCAAGAGCTATTGTCAGGTTTTCCCCATGTATATTTGCCTAAAAAGAGGTAGTTTTTAAGAATCTGCCGTAAATCATATTTAGTGCAAGTATTACTTTTTACATTAATTTATTTTAAATCTCAGAAGTACGCAATAATTTAATTGATAATCTACAACAGGGACTTAGATAGGAAGGTTTACATACTTTTTTGGCTGCTTCTCTCATGAATTGTTTTGCAGGATCGTCCCAGATGGCAGGGACTGTAATTACCCAGTGGATTTCCTGTTGATGTATAATTCCAGTTCCCCGACTGTTCAGCTGGTCCAACAGATGCTGTTGCAAGAAACCTATTGCGTGTGCAAAGATGTCTATTGCTGGAAGACGCTTGCCATGAATATCGGGTATCGTGGTCTTTCGCGTAAGTTTCTACATGGGATAAAGATGTTGCAAGATTTAGATATCGTGATTTTACACAGATCTTATTGTAATATAAACACAAATTTTCATGAACTTATAATAATCTTAATTAATATATACATGTAACAGGCATTGCGAGCAATATGTTGTTTGCATTAAACCTTGACTTCTTATCAAACCAAGAAAACAAACACTCATATATGTATATACACAGAAGAAACTGCAATTCCTTTTAGACTATATGTGTTGATTTGATAACTATTACGGTTAGCAACATATGGTTTCTTAAGGGTTATACATGTACATGTATACAAGACTTTTTTTTTGGTGGTTGTAGTGACGGATATAAATGAATACAGTCCTCTACATCCAACTTCTCTAATATAAACAGACCAAACTTGCTCTGGCCTTTCAAAATAATTATGATTATCAAATTTCTTAATTTTCAAAAAAAAAAAAATTAAGATCCTCGACTTTTCAGCAATCTTCCCAAATGTAACATAATCCTCACAGCAGTGAATATGCCTTTGACTGGCCTACCCTCCTATTACAAGTATTTGGCAGATAAAAAGCAAAAACTTTCTGCTCCTGAAACGACTTGTAGCATATAAAAACAACTTACGGCTGTCCTGATTTCGTTATAAAGAACCATTTTAAACCGTCTGAAGTAGTAGTGTCCTTTATGCTTGTCTTGTTCCGCGAGTGCTGTGTACTGTGATTCTGCATCATAACCAAAGGCCACTAATTTCTTGTCTGGACCCAGTAAAACTGTTGTGGGTGTCTTCAAGGAGATCATGGTAGGAGACTTCCATTGGTTGGAGGAAATTTTCAGTTTATCTGTCTCATAATCGTCCTTCATTGAAAAGGCATAGCCTGAATAAGTCGTGCCAAAATCGATGGCTGCAACCATCAAGCTGTCCGATGTTGTATCATCATTCAATGCCATTCTATTCGTGATCAGTAGTTATGAGAAAATTCTATGGTGGTACAACTCCAGGTCCTTTGATTCTTATTAACCAGTATCATGGCTTTCCAAAATTAATTCCATTTAAGAATTCTGTAATTATGTATATGGATACTGGACTCATAATGCAATTTTTTAATATATCACAAAAACATAGCTCTAGGCGTTGCAGAAATGCATATAGCAGAGGTAAATTCTTTAATGTAAACAATCATAAACATAATCCAGTTATACTTCCTTGCTTTGGTTTATGTCGGATAAACCGAAAGTAGAAATGTCAGTACATGCAAATATGTGAAGAAAAGTAAAATGTTCAAGTTACGGTATATTCAAAAGAACGCCAAGAAAGTCCATTCTACTATTACCTACCATTTCGTGTGACTACCTATAGTTACGTTCATTTATATCATGTATAAAACGGTAAATTTACTACCCAGGCACTTTAACCGATCTGCAAATCAGGGTTATCTTTCGTTTGTTCGGTAATGTTGGGGCCCCCGATAGGTTAAAGCTATATGGCGTATACGGGATTGAGAGTAGATGAACATGATATTTCTTATTTACGTTCAAATTAAAATTTTCACCAATTTTGAAAAACCCCACGTTTCTGGTTAAATTGACTTTAAACTTTGTCTGATATTTAAATGCGAAGTCGGTAAATTAATAAATCGGTTATTGTTTTAAATTTCTAATATCTATGAAACACGATTGATTTAAATTGTGTAATTAACAGAAAAGTCCTATCTTTATATAAGTAATAAAACAAACAGAAAGACCTTTTTTAATTTTAGGTGGTCTGAACTTATAAAAAAAAAAAACAAAAAAAACAAAAAAAAACGTCATATATGACTTTAAACTGAAGTGAATTAAACGGCTATTTTGCGTTCCTTTTAGCAAGATTACATTTAATCAGTTAATTAAGGGAATGAATTTCTAATAAGGAGCTGGGCGGATTCATGATTTCAGGTTAGAGGTTGCAAACTTTTTAAAAACTTAACTCAAAATACTTGAAGTTATGAATTTCCTCGGGACCGCTGCAGAGAAGTGTGTATAACATCTCAGGCGTTTATTACTCAGGACCTTTACTGGAAAACAGGTGGATTAATAAGTACATGTACTAGAATAGAGAGTGTCTCCTCCAGTCAAACAAATAGAATGGAGATGTGAAACTTCTGAAAGATTCTAATGAGTCGGCAGAGAAATGGACAGAATCCGGTAATTAATTAATTAAATGTGAAAAAAAAACTTTATTGCCAATATTGGTAGTGTACTAGTATATCCTGGATATTCCGAACAATGGATAATTCCGGACTGTGCATTATCTAAATTAATATAAAGTACGACTGCTTCCCGACGATGGTTAATAAATTCAGTGTTATTAGGACCTACTGTTCTACAAGTCAATTAAACAATGAAATGATTTCTTCGTTTGTTATATACACATGTAGTTCATGTTATTCTCTTTAGAGTAGTAGACAGTGCTGGATGTAGGCGAAAGCCTGTCCACTTCTCTAAACAGAATATGTTCACGTGGAAATTGTATGCAGGTCCAAAATTTATAAGCCTTTGATTTCAAACACCCTGAAGGAATTTTTTTTTCATGCATTGTTTTAAAATAGTTCAAAGTTGAAACTGTCACTGTAGCAACGTGTGATTTTTTTTACATGGTGAAAAATACTAATTTAAGTCATAAGTATGATTAGCTAATTAAAGTTTCTTTATTATTATTTAATTAATTACTTTATAATTAATCTGTTAAATTAAGTTATGTAGGTAATTCAAGCAACACAGCTAGATGTAGTGATTGTACCAGATCGGTCAATCATAAAATCTATACTCTTTGGATTTAATTTCAACGCTGCTTGTAACTACATGTAAACATACTCTTCTACAATTCCAATAGATATTACAAATCAGGGAAAATAGTCCAGTTTTGGTAAAACTGAAGAGTAAAAGGTCTATAAAATGTAAATACGTGTTGTGTTTTAACTTTCATTATATTTTTTTTCTCTGAATTATTTGTACAAGTTGGATTGAATAAAGTCCATTTTAGTAACAGCACGAATGTTACACACTATAAAAAAGATCACATTTTGTATGTTAGCATTTTTTTTTTCTACATTTCAGACTATGAACTCAAGGATCAGTTGAATCTTGGTTGAGAAGTAGGAAAACTGGGGTGACTTATGAAATGTACAATGTTGCACAGTTTATAAGTCATGATAGGCATGATCCTCTGAAAAATATAAACCTCATACTTGACAAACATCTAGCAAGTGAATTTCGGTATCTGGAACAATTATATTTGAAATATACCATGAATATGTCGAAGTGATTTGAAAGTCCCAATCAATTCTTTGTGTATCGAAACCTCAATATCTCAAATTCTTGGATATCTCAAAGTTTCTTCTTGGTCACATCGAGTTCGATATAATGAGATTTCACTGTATTTATGAAAGTAAAGAAGTTTGAGATGAATTATATATTTATTTTATGCATTTGATCAATGATAGTCCGTACATGTTTTTCTTAACTCCAATTAATCAGATACTTTCATCAAAATGTAGGATTATTGAAATATTTGAGGATATGAAAGTGAAAAAAAGATGAATGTTTGAATGTTCATCCATTTGAAACATACATATATAAAATTAATAAAGCACTTTCTTCTTTCTTGAGAGTCCTGGAATTTGAAGTACATGTAATCATGAAGTTATCTCTCTTCAATACCTGTACGCATACCACTGTATTCCTCATCTTGTTCAGGTCCACTTTCAAAAAAGTTGAACTTGATGGCAGTTATTTCTCCTGTTTGGTCATTTTTTCCTTCAACTTTAATTTCAGTTCCTCCAAATATGAAACGCACGAGAACTTTCCGATTCGTACCACCAGTTGTATCTGGAATATCCACAGTCATAGATCCCAGATAACTGCAATCTGGATCATCCGTGTATCGAGGATTTTTGTTTGTAGATGTGTAAACGTTAAAAAGAATTGCTTTCTGTTTTTCTCGAACTGGATAATATGTCTGTTCATCCTGTGTTTCATTAATGTTTAACTCGTCTCCCTTTGTGATATGCTTACTAAATACATCTGAACAATATTCGGTTCCATCAACCATATGGAGTTTATTGGGAGGATGTACTCCTTTTTTAAATCGTGACAGTGTATCTACTCCGTATGTGTATTTGGCAATCCTTGAGGTTACAGTCTGAGGTTCGTGACCATAGAGAACTGCTCCTTTTAAGACAGCCAAACCTGCCTCATTTGGAATAACAATGCGAAAATTTGGGAAAGCCCTTTTAATTGTCTCTTGAAGATATGGGGATTCTGAAAATCCACCTACCATCAGAATATTTTCAATGTTTCTACACTGTGGCTTTTCCAGTAACTTGTTCACATGTTTGACAATCCCATCACAGACTTGAGAAAACAATTCATGTACACAAAATTCTTTAAACTCTAACTTATCCCTTTTGCAAACTAAAATATTAGCATATTTTGAATTAGCAGCTAAATCTTCAAATTTACTCTTATGTTCACTCTTACATATTTCTTTAAGGGATGCTGGAATTTTAAATGTAGCACTTGAGCTTTTTGTAGTTATTGTCCTTTTCTTAAGTTCTAAAGCTTGACACATTTCCAAAAAGTCAGCAAGATGCTCAGTCTTATATTGGTTATATAATTCCTTTCCCACTATTTTTTCCATTATTTCATGGAAGGCCTTATCCACATATGTGCCTCCCCAAGCTCCACCACTGGCCTTTTCTATCTCCTTAATCTTTCCACTTTGTAATACTTCATGAATTGTGATATCTACTGTTCCACCTGTAAACAGTGTGAAAAAGAATTTATCATCTCTTATTTTCTGAAAACTTAACAACCATGACCTATAAGACCTAATCTTATGCCAAGCTTACAATGCACCTTTAAGCCATTCGCAACAACACAGTTATATTCCAAAAGTTTCAAAATTTAAGCCAAAGCACATTTTGACACAGACAGGAATGTAAATTACAACGACAAAAATAATTCCTTAAATAGATTAATATGTAATATTTAATAGATGCTACTTATAATTTGACAATTTTGAAACAAACCTCCCGCATCCAAAACAAGATATCGACTACCAGGATGAAACATTCCAAAGTCCTTCCTGCCAACAGTCTGTATCTGTTCAATGGGTAAGTGTTTACAATAAATGGATGCTGCTTCAGGTTCTAATGCTATGGTCAGACAATCCCCTCTTATGTCTGCCTGTATAAAGAGAATTTGAACTATGACTTTGACCAACAGCACTGCATTCAACTATATTAGGGGTTAAGAAAAGATAAAATTTCAAATATTAAAATAGAGGATATTGGAAACCAATTTTCCTTTGTAAATAAGATCTATCAGTTCATGAATGTTATGTACAAGTTTATTTTAATCTGAATTCAGATAACGTAAACCAGAAAAATTATGAAACAATGTATGGTAAACATTAAATCAAAGAATGAGTTTTAGCATTACTTTTTCTGCAGCATCTCTCATGAACTGCTTAGCTGGATCATTCCAAATGGCAGGAACCGTTAACACCCAACGAATTTCCTCTGCTCTGATGCATCCTTCAGCTTTTGTTTCAAGTTCCTTTAAGAGGTGGCTTTTCATGTATTTTATAGCAATGGCAAACACATCAATGGCCGGCATTTCTTTCCCATTGATATCAAATAACAAGGTTTTTTTTGTTAATCTCTGTAATTGCAATAGAAAAATACATATATCAAATTCTTTTCTGTTTTCAAACATTACAAATTCTCACTGCAATGGATTAAAGTTTTTTTAATGGCTTCTAATTAAAATTTTCATGGTTTTGGATTCCTAAGACAGAGTTAAAAAATAATTCGTAAAACTATTATGCTTTTCTTATGTAAGTACAGGTAGTATATTTCTCTCTCCTTACTTTTCCCATATCCTTTGTGTTGTACAACAACATTTTAAATTTTCGGAAAAAGTAATAATCTCGATGCTTTTCATCTTCAGACAACTCCATGAATTTCTTCTCTGCTTCATCACCAAAAGAATCCAGTTCCTTATCTTTATTCAGCAGAACACTTGTTGGTGTTTTGTGTGATATCAAATCTTTATTCCATTCATGAGCTGATATTTTGAGAGGGTTTGTCGTGAAATCACCCCTTGAAGAAAAGGCATAGCCTGAGTAGGCAGTTCCAAAATCGATAGCTGCTACCAACAAATTAGGGGAAACTCGAGGTTTTTCAGCTCCTGCAGCAAGCTTTTCATCATCAGTTTCCTGTACATTATCAGCCATGTTTTCTGTTGGAAAAAATAATTTTATCTAAATTCGCTCTATAAATGTGACTGATAAAATAATATACTTCAATTCAATTGATAAAAAGAACAAGAAGCCTAAGGGCCTTAACGGTCACCTGAGTATAATACAACACTGTAAATGATCCATAGAAGAATAAAGCAAAATTAACTGATAGATGAAGCTATGTTGCCCAAGAATTTCAAAAATCTGGTAAAAATACCCTTGCTTATTGTAACATGCAAGACCCAAGCAATCTCCTTTGGGTTGTACTTGGTTTTCCAAAGCCTTACAAGAATGATAAGGAATGCAAACTATACACATACAATGGACACTTGCCTAGTCTGTAAGGTATTTTATAGACATGTTTTTGTCCCTTGCCTAGTGCTACATTTAAGTACACGAAGAGAAATCTCTAATGTCTATATTTACTCATGGTGATGCCTATTGGCTACACAAACAACTTAGCTGCTTGCCACTTGGTAATGCTTGGTACCAACACTTGCCTCTTGGGTATACAAACAACTTGGTAATACTCGTTACCAGCACTCACCACTTGGCTATACAATGATTTTCTTAAATGAAGATGTGTCTGTCAGTCGTCAACTTATAACTGATACAATTTCTTTGATTTGGAGGCTCATCTCTCCAAATCGACGTGGATGGAACGGAAGTTTACAAAATTGCAAGGGCAGATAATTAATTTATCGGGAAAACTCAGAGGGTAATTGAAAGCAAATGGTAACACCCAAGAACTTCCAGCTTCGCGGAAAAATGTTCATCGAACAAGAAAAAGCAGTGAAAATAATAAGAATTGGCTAAAGTTTGGTTTTCACATGCAGGCTAAGGTGGCATAAGGAAGAATGATTTCATAAAATGCTTAACTAATTAGTTAGATAATATACAGGACACTTGCTATTCAAGCGCGCTATATATTATACCATGATTATCGTCTTTGCTTTGTTACCATGCAACAATGTAAACTTCAGTTCCTTCCAGGTCGATTTGGAGAGATGAGCCTCCAAATCAAAGAAATTCTATGTTTTATGTTGTTTGAACGCGTGTTGACGACTGACAGACACATCTACATTTGGGAAAATTTTCCCTGTAAGGAAAAGAACCATGACAAAGAAATAAATTATTGATTTAGAGTCAAGAAATAGGTGCTGAAGTGGGTGGGGGTATTTTTTCCAAGATGAGAGCTTTCGTCCCTTGTAGAGTTTACGTTTATATAGGTGTGGTACTTTTTTTTTTAAACATGGTATTTCTTGTCTGAAAGTGTCAGAGTCTTTATTGTAACAACTTTTTAAGTGTATTTAAAGTGGATTCAAAATTTTATCAATTTACATTATTTTACATTTAACAATCCGGAAGAAAGCCCTGTGATATTATTCAGGCTGTGCACATCTCCAAACCACAGGCACTTGTTTCTGTAATAAATTTTTGACCCATAGTATAATAATATAACACTGTTATTATTATACCATGGGTCAAAAATTTATTACAGAAACAAGTGCCTGTGCTCCAAACTCATACATACGTTCCTCTTCCAACGTGAACATAAGCTTGAAGTTGTTAATGTTACCCCGATTTCATTTTTAACCATGTCTGCTATCGTTTCAATAATTTCACACAAGATGTAGGCCCCTAATTATATAAAATGTAATACACTAGGCCTATAGCGCTACAGAAAAGAAAGATGTCTGAGCACATTCTTCAAACCGAAAGTACAATTATCTACAACAATCATTAATTCAATGACAAAAACCGTGTTATCGATTAATAACTAACCTGATTAGTGTTTTATATAAATGTTTCTTCTTTCAGCTGATCTCACTTTCGTTTTAAATACTCTTAAAACAATAAATATTACAACATTTTGCCCCATAGTCACAAGTAGAGACCTTCTTACTCCATTTGAGGCCACACAAGGGGTTTAAAAGATTATAACGTAAAGTTTAAAGCTGTCACTATTCCCAGCGCCTGTTTCTTTTAATGGTGTGAGCGAGAGTAGGTGAGATAATTACATTTTTTTTCATGTTACGAATTTAAGACTCATATACTGTTCTTTCAAATAAATTTCATTTTGTATGGAGAGGGGTGTATTCTATTAAATGAACCGACTTGCTATTATTTTAGAATAATTAGGTATTTTCATGTTTAGAAGTTTAAACATGAAAATTTCATAATTAATAATTCTGTTTATAAGTTTGCAAGATTTTAGCTAAACCTAGCAAGACTTCAGGTCTATATTAGTCTTAAGTCCTTTCTGAATGGGACCAGGATTTTATCATAACAAATACATGTATATAGGATATTCAATGTTTTGTAGATCTACATGTAGTTGGATATGGAATTTATTTCACGAGTTGGACAGGGTTATATATAAATCTAAAGGTTAATAATAATAATAATAATAAAATATATTAAAAAATCCTGTCCAACTAGTGAAATAAATTCCATATTCAACTACAAAATATTGATTCGTCTGTTTATTACATTTTCTTTGATTATCGTCAGCAGGAGCATGGAACGATCTATTTGTGGTTGAGTTAGAATGTGCACTGGGATATGAGGCGTATTTTTTTTTTCAATGGATCGATGGAGTGAAATTCCTCAGTGATAACATACATAAAAATTATAAATAAAAGTTTTTAAAATTTGCATTTGCTTAATACTAAGTCTAAATGGTTGCAATTACGTTTCAATTTGTCTTTCCTTTCTCATCAGATATTTATTGATGTTATAAAAAGTTGTAACATGAACTGCTCCCAAACATGGGAGTGTGTAAGATACAGTATTGTACCATTAGTGATCGTCCAAAGTCGCGTGCATTGCGTATTTTTAATGTTTTAGCACAACTTTATCTGCATACTATAAATAAACAAAGGTACTGTTGTCGGTGAAAATGACGCTATTTTAAGAATGTCCTCATGACTATCACGTGACAAATTTACACGTCACAAATTCTCGTCTGCTGCGTATATTGTCAATGTAAACAATATGGCTTCTGCTCGGAAATGCAAAAGGTAAAAAAAAGTTTCCAGATCTTGGTTAACAGTGCCACAATGATAAATAAATAGTAAAAAAAAAAATTATAAGTATTTTTTTAAATACACTACAGTTGCAAATGACAATGAATTTTTGTCTTAACATTTATTTTGATACGTGTTCATCACAACGAAAACATCAGCATTATCAGGTGACAAAGATCCAGGGTATAAGCACTTGAAGAAAAGTTTGTACGTCCATTTTGTCGGAAATCATTCAGACATTCATAATTTTAGATGTTATACTTGTCTTCTCCACAAATAATTTGATGATAATATAATCCTATCCTTTATCTCCGATTTCCATATCCATGTATAATAGTTAACAATTCGCTGAAAAATTAAAGTATTATAAAGTAAACTAATATTAAGTGTATAGTTTTGCAAGAAATATGTATTATGTACTTTTATTTACTTTGAAATTTATTTTCTTTAGACTCTTTTAAATGGAAATACTTTAAAATACTAACCCAATTTTTTCACCCTGAGTTGAGAGAGGACAAACAAACGTTATTTTAAAATATTATACTTTCATGTAAATTAGTTGAATCTGATTCGTCGAGAAACATTTGTTAAAAAACACTATTACCCGCTGAATAATGAAGCCACGCCCACCAGCGTAGCAACAGTTAACATTGCTTGACGACGGGTGTTATTCCAAAAAAATATTGACTGCGCAGAATTCATGCGCGCAAGGTTCACTGTAATATGTATTTGAATAAAACATTCAGTATAATATAATAAATACTGCATGTAGTTGAGTGTAACATTGAAAATTTTCACCCCTCGAAAACCATTGTCAACCTCGGCTGCGCCTCGGTTGACAATGGTTTTCTTGGGGTGAAAATTTTCAATGTTACACTCAACTACATGCAGTATTTATATACTAGTGTTTTACAACACTCTTCTTTACGGGAAGACGAAATTAAATTCCGTGTTTTGCCGCACTTCTGATATTTTTCACACTGTAGAAAAATTCAATTTCGCTTCGCCTCAGTCAATATTGATATTTTTCTGGTGAATACCCGCGTGGCGCAGTGGTTGGAGCGTCTGCTCTAGAGTCGCGGAGTAATGAGTTGATTCTTACGTCGCGGGTTCGAATCCCACTGTGGGACGTGGAGACCGGTCCTTCGGATGAGACCGTATAAACCGAGGTCCTGTGTCGCAGTAGGTGCTGGCACGAAAAAGATCCCTCACTGCTCAATGGCCGTAAGTGCCGAGTATAGGACAAAATTTGCAGCTCTCCACCGGCAAGTGGTGGCGTCTCCATATGAGTGAAAAATTCTCGAGAGGGACGTTAAACAACATAACAACAACATTTTCTGGTGAATAACAAACCATATTTACAGCCAAAAGAGTCCATAATTGTATAGTATTTCAGTACAGTATTGCTGTTGAAAATGTAATAAAATTCTTTATTGCAGCCCGGAGGACCGGGCTGCTCTATACATATAAGTTTAAGTGTTGGTATACACGATTCCTTTTCACAAGTTTTACAGAGTTATCGCTCTTTGTCACACGGAGGCGTTGTCGTCGGCCGCCATTACGGTGCTGACAGTGTGACAAGAGTGACAGTATGCCCTACGAATAAATAGGTGACAAACACAGTGTTGTCTTTGTTTTCTAAATTCGAAGGTGCTGAAATACGACCGCAAATATATGTTAGTAGTAAATAACTCTGCCGACAAGATCTACATGTGCTTTATTTTTTTTTTAATTTATCAATTTCATTTTATTAGTTCGCCTATAGCTATACGCCCGTAGTGCTACCGGTATTTATCCAATACTTTTTATTTGACGTTTTGTATATAATTTTTATACACCATGTACTGTTATACTAAAACGAATAAATAAAAATAATAAACAATAACAATTAAATTAAAACAAAATTTAAAAAAAATTAACATTAAAAAAAAATATTTGATTTATGCCGAGAAAATCTAGACGACC